GCTCCTAAGTGCTATGTGAATTGATGGATGAGGTCACACCTGTTACAGCTATATATGTGGAAGTAATTTCCCCCTGCCTGTTTCACAGAAATCTGTTCTTTTCTCACAAAGTCAAACACTCTGCTCCTATTTCTAGTAAATATCTCCTAGATAAGCTTTGAAAAGATTCCGTGAGTAACTAATTAATATAATTTCTCTTTGTATGCCAATAAATTAGATTATTGAAGAAAGGGACATGTGCAAGAAATTAAAATTGAAGCTACTTACTTAAGTAGACAGACAGCCAGACAAGACTTGCCTAGATAGCTCTTCTTAGACCAAGAAAAAGTTTTATTTCTCCAGTGCAGAGAGCTAGCACTAAATCTGTGTCCCACTAAAGCTCATGCTCTTGAACTCCTTCAGTTAATGCCAAAAGAGGACTTCTGTGATCCACAACTGTATGCTTCCTTCTGCACAGAACTGAGTTTTCCTTCTAAGCAGTCCTGAAGTTTTCCTGATTGCTCATTTAACCTAAGAAAATACTTACAAACATATGCATTTACCTTCTCTCCTAGATACTAATTTATTAGCAGAAATATTAACTGAAATAAACTTTTGTGAGTAATTATGAGGGAAAAGTCACGGGAAGCAATTTTATAATTCCTACAATTCATTTTTCATCTCCAAATATGGTTTCTATTAAATTTTGTTCATTCAAACAGAGAACAGAAACATACGAGAGACTAAAATATTCTGATTAACGTAACCAGGGAAAGCAGTTCGCATTTTGAACACCCACAAAGAACCTACCATGCTTCTGCCCACCAGAGTTGCATTTGAACATGATGAAAATCACAAGTAAGGAGTAGCATATGCTGAAATTTATTCTAATGCCATTACGTTCTATTACTGAGGTGATAAACATAACATATAAAATATATATAAGAAAATGAAACAAACATGACATTTAATAGTGCAGTCATATCATAAGACCAAACAGGAATTGAAAACCAACTGATGGAAATAACTTAGTAAAGTAGAACTTTACATTTCGGTACTGTAATTACTTCACTAAAAAACCCAAAAGGTGAAGATCACCAGATATATGAGGTTCTCTTAAATTCTTTCACAGAATTTCTGGGGAAAAGGCATAAGACTGTATTTTTAATTCATGAAGGTGGAGAAAATACACTGAAGCATCCAAAAGAATTTTAAATGTATGTGATAGATCAGGAGGAATATTGGAATGACTGAAATGAAGAAAATTTTTTAAAGACTGGTTTCCAGATCAAAGAACAGAGTTTGCAAATCTCTTTCCACCTAAGCAAACCTCCAGCTGAAACCAACTGGACTACTCTCGGGATCAGATGGCTCATGTATGGAAAGTACCATGCCAGGGTCGATGTCACGTTTGCCCTGGACTTTCAGTCAAATAGGATCATTTCCCTCATTTGATGTGTGCTGTGCTGAACACTTACCTTTTCTAAGATGTGTTGATAATAAAGGTGACAATATCTTGAGAGGGCATAGAAAGACAGTAAGGAACATACTAGATTCAGAAGAGTAACATCCAAACCTTTAAGGGAAAATTACAAAATCCTGACTGACCTCACTAAATTTACAGCAACATATACAAATTGGGGATTAAAGCCCTTTGTAAAGGTCACTGTTCATTCATCAGTCCATTTCCAGAGCTTGTTTCTTAACATCCCTTATGTGCCCAAAGGAAATGCCACTTGTGAAAATGCCGCCAAGAGGAGAAACTCCTTCTGATTCCATGTCTGTGGTAAAAGTTTGCAAAATAATTTGATGCGCAAAAGTCAAAGGAGGGATCGTTGCCAAGCTTTTGAAATCAGGTACACTTTCTTTGAGGGACATTTGTCTGAGAGACAAACAAGGGACAAGTTCATCATACAAGAACTGGAAAAGAAAAAAAAAGAAAAAGAAAAAAAAAAAAAAAGGACACTAAAAGTTTTTCAGTTAATTATCTTCTTGAAAGATCTGAGACAGAAGAGCATGTGTGAAATAATAAAATTACTTTTCAAAAGCTTTGTCTCACCCTCTCAGGATGAAAAGGGGGGGGGGGGGGAA